GCAGAACCGTGTGAAGCACCAACCAACTCCCCACGCCTCCCCCAGGGACCAGAGATAACACCAGGTCAGAGCAGGCAGGCCTTGGCCCATACAAGCAAAGACCATCTGGGGAGAGACCTGTCGCCTTCAGCAACCGGAAGAGAGAAAAGCGTGAGGTCTCTTATCTGCACCTTATTTATATGTTGTGTTACGCTAAAGGATGATATGGAATACTTCCTTAGATTTCTGACCCCCGTTGCTAAGGAAGGCCTGAAAAAAAAAATCCAAAAGCCAACCCACTATGTTGTGATTAAATTCTCTTGTTGTTTGCTTAATATTGAGATGCTGCAGCAATGAATCAAAGTGTGTAGGTAATGAACTGTAATGGCTGAAATTATGCTGAACAGCTGATGGCAAATCACAGATATGTAAGGATGAGGTGATTATATCCAGATGTTGTGAAGAACTTAAAGCCTCTGCCAGCCCACCAAGCTACTGTATTTCCTTATTTGATATCTGTCCTAGAATTTGAGTGAAAGATACCACCTTGTTTCATGCAAAACAAAACATGAAATGCAGTGGATTTTTTTTAAATGAAAAGACTTAAGGAGAGAACTTGCAACCTGCTGTGTTCCTGGTATAGAAGGGCCCAGCAGCCTTTTTTCAAACAGTAAATAGGAAGCAGCTTTTTATTCTTGTGAATCTGATTTCTGTAATCATTTCCCTCCCATTGTCTGAGTGCTCTGTACCTGATCCCATGGCAGTCATAGGGAGCAGGACTGTGTTCCTGTGAAGAAGGGTCATGACACATCATCTAATTAAGTCTGACTCATATTCGTTGAGTGATCTCATAACTTGCTAACAGCATTCTTGAAAACAGACTATCATTTAGAGACAAGTGTTTAGGATTAAATTATTATAATGTAGACTGACTTTTTTATTTCCTTTTTCCTCCATAAGGTTTGCAGTTTCCTTCCCTTAAGGTAGCAGCCCTCCACAGAGCCTTTGTCTACCAGCCTGTTTGGTTGACTCCTGCTGCCCCCCATCTTTTGTTCTTATGAGGAACAGAAGTGCATCTCGTATGAGAGTTCTTACCCAGACTCTACTAAGCCAAAGTTGGGTAAGGCTGCTGCCAGTTTAGATTCCTTTAAGCACTAATGGAAGCCAAAAGTGTCTGACAAACTCCTCCAGAATTTTTCTCAGCTACAACTACATCTGAATGTTCTTATTTAAAAATACAGTGACAAGCCATATGCTTCAGTCCTGAGAAAGAATTAAGTTCACATGGTTGAGAATAGTGTAAACAGCCATTTTTATGGTGCTGTAGTTCATGATAGCTATAGAGTATCATAGAATGATTTGGGTTGGAAGGGACCTTAAAGATCACCTTGTTCCAATCCCTGCCATGGGCAGGGACACCTTCCAGTAGACCAGATTGCTCAAAGCCCCATCCACCCTGGCCTTGAATACCTCCCAGGATGGGACATCCACAGCTTCTCTGGGCAACCTGTTCCAGTGCCTCACCACCCTAATATCCAATCTAAACCTACCCTCTTTCCGTTTGAAGCAATTACTGCTTGTGCTATTACTACAAGGCCCTTGTAAAAAGTCTCTCTCCCATCTCTTGTAGGCCTGCTTTAGGTACTGGAAGGCTGCAATTACATCACCCAAAGCCTTCTCTTCTCCAGGCTGAATGATCCCAATAGCAACTGCTATCTCTGCTACAATCCAGTGAAAGACTTTGGCACTCCCTACAGCCTGAAGCCTGGATAGCTGCATGTTTTTTTGGGAACTCTGTCGTGGTCGCTACATCCTTTCAGTGAGCTGAGTAGATACCATACCTGAGCTTCTGGCTGCCCCTATACAGTTATCTTTGCAGCTGTTTAGTCTCAGAGTTACCTAGCAAGTGTAATAGTGGCTCATTTCTTCCTAACTTCTCAAGAAGTTATTGAAGAATAAAAGCACACAGCTCTGGTGCATGTTCATTACAGTACTGGAGTCTTGTTTCATAACAAAATTCATCAGAAGTTATAATTTTCCATCATTTTCCTGTTTATATATACTTTTGGCTCTTGGAGATTGGAATATGCTTCACACTCTACCATTTGTTCAGCTTTCAAAGATTTGTTTGAGCGTCTGAATGGCCTCGTGTTGTACTGCCACCAACCTGGTGTGGAATGTGCAATACATGGGGTCTCATGTTTTCTTTCCCTTTCTCTTTGCTGCTTCCTCAGGGCTTCATCAAATACCACATTGCCGTATAAGCAAGCGCAGGAGAGGGGAGTCCCAGTGGTTTCTACTTGCTCATCAGGACTTGCAGGGAATTTGGATCTGTTTTGTACTGAATCTCTTAGTTGTGCTACATATAGAAAGGAACATCTATTGATTTGATTACTATGAGAATTTTTTTTTACTAGGGAAGAAATCATTTATCATTCTTCATGCCTTCTCAGTATTCTGTTACAGACTGAACTTTACCTTTTTGCTGCTTCACCCTATCAGTAATTAGCATCATCCTTAGAAACTACTAAAGATTTTAGTCTCCCAACCTCCCAGCCTTTTCATCTAGACTCACATCTCTTCATCTGCTCATAGGCAGAACTTGTGTCTATCAAAGATCCACACAGACCTGCCAATACTCTTCAGCTTTTGAAAAGAGCATCATCCCAGGCTGGGCTTTGGGTGAACCTCTGAGAAATAGGTCTGAATTATTTTGCAAAATATTACCCAAAGCAAGAAGAACAAGGAGTGTAATTTACACAATCTGGGGTGGAAAGCTAGTGTCATCATCGTGGTGACTGTGAGTTTGCACGCAGGCTTCTTATCTGAGCCCTGCCTGTGAAATCACAAGGCTCTCCAGCCCTAGCAGCATAACCAGATTTGAGGACATTTTGTATTTGTCTGGATCAGGTCCCGAGCAAAAAGCTCTTATATACATGTATAAACTCATAGAGATCATTCTTTTGAAGGTAGAAAACACACGGTGCTGTACAAATGTGAAGTTTTATTGTGATTTTGAGTGTTTCTAGAAATAAATAAAAGCAAACAAATCTCTCTGATTCATT